CTTTGGCAAAAGTGCTGGGATTACAGGCATGAGCCACCATGCCTGGCTTCTTTGTTTTTAATAAAAGTACATTTATGCATAGAACATTGTTCTCTTAATGATTTGTCTATTATAGGCATACATCAGAGATATTGCAGATTTGGGCCCAGTCCATGGCAATAAAGCACATACTGCAATAAAGCAAGTCACACTATCTTTTTTTTCCCAGTGCATATAAAAGTTTTGTTTACACTGTATGGTAGTCTATTAAGTGTGCAATAGCATTATGTTCTTAAAAAACCAATGTAGGTGCCTTAATTTTAAAATACTTTTTTTGCTAAAATATGCTAACAATCACCTAAGCCTTCAGCAAGACATAATCTTTTCGCTGGTGGAGGGTCTTGCCATGACATCGATGGCTGCTGGATGATCAGGGTGGCGGTTGCTGAAGGTTGGGGTGGGTTTGGCAATTTCTCAAAATAAGACAACAATGAGATTTGCTGCATCTGTTGACTCTTTCTTTCACAAAAGATTTACCCGTAGCATGTGATACTATTTGATAGCATTTACCCACAGTAGAACTTCCTTCAAAATAGGGGTCAATTATCCCAAACACTGCTGCTGTTTTATCCACGAAGTTTATGTAATATTCTAAATCCTTTGTTGACATGTCAAGAATGTCCACAGCATCTTCGCCAGGAGTAGATTCCACCTCAAGAAACCACTTTCTTTGCTCACCCATAAGAAGCAACTCCTCGTTTATTCAACTTCATCACCTCTTCAGGCTCCTCTTCTAATTTGAGTTCTCCTGTTGTTTCTAACATATCTTCAGTGACTTCCTCCACTGAAGTTTCAGACCTTTCAAAGTCATGGATGAGAGTTGGAATCAACGTCTTCCAAACTCCTGTTCATGTTGATATGTTGACCTCCTCCCATGAATCATGGATATTCTTAATGGCATCTAAAATGGGGAATCCTTGCTGAAAGGTTTTCTATTTACTTTCCCCAGACCCATCAAAGGAATTACTATCTGTGGTAGCCATAACCTGATGAAATGTATTTCTTAAGTAATAAGACTTAAACTCTAAATGACTCCTTGATCCATGGGCTGTAGAATAAATGGTAGATAAGCATGCATGAAAATGACATTTATTCATCAATGATGTCTCCATCAGAGCTTTTGGTGGCCCAGTGCATTGTTATGAGCAGTAGTACTTTGAAAGGAGTCTTTTGTTCTGAGCAGTAGGTCTTGACAGTGGGCTTTTCTTCAAACCATTCTATAAACAGATGTGCTGCTAGCTATGCTTTGTTTTTCCATTTCTAAGAATTGATTTAGCATAAATTTTCAGAATGGTAAATGAGCATTGGCTTCAACTTCAATTCACCAACTTCATTAGCCTCTGACAAGAGTCAGCCTGTCCTTTGACACTTTAAAGCTAGCGATTGACCTCTCCTCTCTAGCTATGAAGATCCTAGATGGCATCTTCTTCCAACAGAAGGCCGTTTCACCTACATTGAAAATCTGTTGTTTAGTAAAGCCCCACCTTCATTTTAGCTAGACCTTCTGGGGAACTTGCTGCAGCACTTACTGCCTACCCTGCACTTTTATGTTACGGAGACTCTAGCTCCTTTTTTAAACCTCGTAAACCAATTTCTGCTAAGCTTCAGACTTAACGCAGCTTCCTCACCTCCTTTCAGCCTTCATAGAACTGAAAAGAGTTAGGGCCTTGCTCTGGATTAGGCTTTGGCTTAAGGGAATGTTGTGGTTCCAGACCACTTTCTCCATACCAGCAATAAGGCTGTTTTGCTTTCTTATCATTTGTGTGTTCACCAGAGTAGCTCTTTTAAGTTCCTTCAAGAACTTTTCCTATGCATTCACAACTTGGCTAGCCGGTGCAAGAAGCCTAGCTTTTTGTCTATCTTGACTTTTAACATGGTGCACCAAAACAATTTCAATAGTAACATCAGAGGTCACTGATGGCAGATTACCACAACAGATATAATCATGAGAAAGAAGTTTAAAATATTGCAACAATTAACAAAATCTGACACAGAGACACAAAGTGAGTCTATGCTGCTGGATAAATGGTGCTGATTGACTTGCTTGACCCAGGGTTGCTACAAATCTCCAATTTGTAAGAAAGGCAATTGTCTTTTAAGCACAATAAAGTGAAGCACAGTATAATGAGGTGTGCCTGTGTTACATCAACAAAGAAGGCATTGCTTATGATGGCATGTATTCACTGCCCGAAGTAGAAGAGATGTGTATTTTCCTTGATAGGGGAAATTATTATTATTATTATTATTATTATTATTATTATTATTTTGAGATGGAGTCTCACTCTGCTGCCCAAGCTGGAGTGTAGTGGTGTAATCTCAGCTCACTGCAACCTCTGCCTCCCAGGTTCAATCAATTCTCCTTAGCTTCCTGAGTAGCTGGGATTACAGGTGCATGCCACCACATCAAGCAAATTTTTGTATTTTTAGTACAGATGGGTTTTTGCCATGCTGGCGAGGCTGGTCTTGAGTTCCTGACCTCAAGTGGTCCACCCACCCTGGCCTCCCAGAGTGCTGGGATTATATGCATGAGCCACTATACTTGGCCCAGATAGGGGAAATTATTAATGAATAAATAGTAAGAGGAAGAAGAATGGGGTTTCTTGACTGTTTGCTCTGTGCTGAGCCCAGTGGTAAATAATTTACTTTGATTAGTTTATTTGTTCATTAAAAAAAGTGCTATGAAGTGTTTTTAGCTCCCTTTTACCCGTGAGACAATGGCAATTTAAAGAGGCTAAGTATCTTGTTGAAGGTCACAGAGGTAATAAGTAGAGAGCTTGGACTAGACCCCAGACCCCAAGCCATCTGACCACAGTTCAGGGCTCTAGACCACATCCTTCTTTAATAAATCTTCATGAAATTGTCAAAAGTCACTTGTTGAGAATAAATACCGAACAACAAGACAGTTTTGGGGAACCTGTTTCTCACTTTTTATTTTTTTTTATTTTTTGAAAGAAAGAAAGAGAAAGGGGGAGAGAGAACAGGAGTCTTGCTCTATTGCCCAGGCTGGAATGCAATCTAAAAATAGGTATTAAAAAGCTCTTTTATGCTGATAATTGTGCTTAACAGTGGAGGAAGAAAATAACAAATAAATAGCCAACCAATATTTCATTTAAGTCTGGGAAATGCTATGCAAATGCTGAAGAGTGATTTACTTCCAATTATGTGGTCACTTTCAAAATAGGTATAATGTGATACTGAGAAAAACGTATGTTCTGTGGACCCGAGGTGAATAATTCTATAAATATTCACTGAGTTTACTTGTTCCAGGTCTGAGTTCTAATCATAGATGTTCCTGTTAATTTTCTATCTCATTGATCCGTCGAATATTAACAATGTGGTGTCAAAGTCTCCCGCTATTATTGTGCAGGAGTCCAAGTCTCTTTATAAGTCATTGAGAACTTGTCTTATGTATCTGGGTGCTCCTATCTCACTTTTTAATAGTAGCTAATCTTCCATTTTAATAGAGGTAGAAGGATTCTTGTTCATTAAACATATTTCTTTAAGAGTATATGTTATCATATGATAAATTGCATATGAATATTACTTAATAGGGTCATCTTCCAGACAGAATAATTTTAGCAGAATTCTATGCTTCCTGATTAAATCATATATTTTTATGAGCCCCAAGTTACCTTCTCATATTTGAGCCAGATATCCTATTCATAGTCATAAATTCACTGTGAAAACTGGAGCATCTAGGTTTTTTTTTTTAAAGAAACAAGGTCTCACTGTGTTGTCCGGTCTGGAGTGGTGTGCTCAGGGTTCACTACAGCCTCAACCTTCCAGGATCAATCAATCCTCCCACCTCAGCCTCCAGAGTAGCTGAAACTACAGACATGCAAACATGCACTGCCATCCCCAGATAATTTTTTAAATTTTTTGTAGAGATGGGGTTTCTCTGTGTTGCTGAGGCTGGTGTTGAACTCCTCGGCTCAAGCAATCCCTCCTGTCTCAGCCTCCCAAAGTACTGGGATTACAAGCATGAACCACCATACCCAGCCCTATTTTTTTTTAATCTAAAAAATGTTTCTGTGCTTTAATTCCATGTGATAATGGACATTACACAGGTATTTTTAAGGCTGGTAGTCATGTTTTGGTAGGTGTTGGAAGTTTAACTTCATTAAATATTTACTATAACATGGGAAAATGATCAGCTTGTTTCTTATGCTAGCAATGAGTGGAGAGAATGGTTTAATCTGGAGATCTCAGCAGGATTCAAAATTAATCTTTTGTTATATTTTTCTATCCCTTGGTATCTTTTGTATGCTTTAAAGATTATCTGGTGCAAACTGAGAAATGTTAGTATCTTCCATTCAAGTTCCAATAATGGTATCTTTTCCAGATAGCTCATCTGTTTATATGGAGTTTTCTATTTTAGGGGCACCAAGAATAATGTATATGTAGTGTAAAGAAGTGGATTATTGCAAGGCTGGGCGAGGTGGCTCATGCCTGTAATCCCAGCATTTTGGGAGGCTGAGTCAGGTGGATCACCTGAGATCAGGAATTCAAGACCAGCCTGACCAACATGTAGAAAACCAGTCTCTACTAAAAATACAAAAATTAGTCAGGAATAGTGGCACATGCCTGTAATCCCAGCTACTTGGGAGGCTGAGGCAGGAGAATCACTTGAACCTGGGAGGCAGAGGTTGCGGTGAGCTGAGATCGTGTCATTGCTCTTCAGCCTGGGCAACAAGAGTGAAACTCCGTCTCAAAAAAAAAAAAAAGTGGATTATTGTAAATATCAAATGGATCTCACTATGAGGATGTTTTCACCCATAAAACAGACCCAGAGGGCATTCTAATGAAATTTTAATGTATAAATGTACAAAGCTGAACTGTTCGTATATTTATATTAGAATGTGTGTGTTCTCATTTCAAGAAACTTAATTTTGAATTCTATTTTATTTTTTATGTTAAACACACACAAAATGTGATTTTTTTCCCCCCTACTCTTGTTTCAGGCCACAAGGGCAGCCATTACTCAGCACTGCACTGACCTTGGGAATTTGCTGGGCAAGGAAAATGATGTGGCTCTCATCATCGACGGCCACACCCTGAAGTACGCGCTCTCCTTCGAAGTCCGGAGGAGCTTCCTGGATTTGGCACTTTCGTGCAAAGCGGTCATATGCTGCAGGTAGGAGCATGCAGGCTGTACACAGTTCATGCTCTGCTGTGTCTGTATCCCATGTTTACATGAAAGAAAGGGATGCATGGGAATTCTAGGTTTAAAGTTTCATATCAAAAAAAGGCAAAACAAAAATACTAATTTATTTTTAATTGTTGGCTCACAGATTTTGCAGAGGCAGGTAGTGGTTTTTATATTTTTGTTTTGTTTATTGTCTTCTAAGAAGATAAAAAGAGTAAGAACAAGGGCTTTCAGTCACGTTCACCATAGGGGATAAATTGGAAAAACACGGCCTAGAGCTGCTTTGGGAAATTACTGGGGTCCAACCTACTCTGCATGTCTGAGCTCAACTTCCAAGACTTGTGGGGCTTTGATGCTTCTTTTCTGACGTTTGTTGGGGTATTTCTTTACAGTTAAGGAGGAGCTTTGGTTGGGTTCATGTGACAGCAATTTTTGTGGTAAGATCTAACCAGAAATCTTTGTAGGTTCTTCATGGAGTCTGGGAAGGGGTTTGTTTTTTTTTTCAACTGGCAGTGGTCTGACTGGGATTGTTACATTCCATTGACTACTGGCTACATGGAGGTCTGGTTCTGATAGAAATTTGAAAGTCAGACAGAATTATAAAGACAGTAAACTACTAGAAAGATGAGTGGTCACCAAAGGTCACAGAGAGCTGGAGGGGCAGGCTAGTGGATCATCGATAGTGAAAAGCCATGTCAGTTTTATGCCTGTGGTCACAGGATACTCAGGCACCATGGGGATGAGGACAAATTCAAATGTGTTTGAAATAATGAATAACAGGTCTGTTGTACCTTGAAGTCAGGAAGCCTGGTGCAGCTGTGACGGACCTGGTGCAGGGAGCAATGGCCAGAGCACCTGAAAGTGAGATAACACTGCTTCTGGGTTTTATAATGACCTCCTTCTCTTTTCCTCAAGTAGCTTGATTGTGATACAGTTCACATACCATACAGTTCACCTATTGAAAGCAATTGATTGGCTTTGAGTATATTCACAGAGTTATAGAACCATCATCACAAACAATTTTAGAATATTTTCCTCACCCCACAGAGACCCTCCTGTATCCATTATCAGTTAACCCTGTCTTCCTCCATCCCCTCACCCCCACCCCAAACAACCAATCATCTACTTACTTATTTCTCTAGCCTGTTTGGGACATTTCACATGAAAGGAGCCATAAAGAGATGTTCTTTTTCTGACTTCTCTTTATCCCTGTTGTTGCATGTGTCAGTACTTCATTCTTTTTATGGCTGAATAATATTCCATTATTTAGATGTACCACATGTTCATCCATTTCTCAGTGTATGAGAATTTGGGTTTTTTACACTTTTTGACTGATATGTGTAATGCTGCTTTGAAGATTGATGTACAAGCTTCTGTTTGGACATAGGTTTTCAATTCCCCTGGGTATTTACCTAGGAGTGGAGTTGCTGGGTCATGTGGTAACTCCACGTTTAACCTTTTCATGAACTGTCAGATGGTTTTCCAAAGTAGCTGCACTTTTTCTGTTCCCGTGATCATTTCCATTCCTCCATATCCATGCTAACATTGTCACTAGCTATCTTTTTTATTATTTAGCCTAGTGGATGTGAGGTGGTATCTCATTATAGTTTGGATTTGAATTTTTCTGCTGATTAATGATATTGATCATTTTTTCATGTTTTTATTGGCCATTTGTGTATCTTCTTTGGAGAAATGTCTATTCAAATCCTGTGTCCATTTTTAAGTTGATTATGTTTTTATTACTGAGGTATGAGGGTTCTTTAGCTACTCTGGATGCAGGTATCTCATCAGGTGGATGGTTTGCAGTCCCCTCTCCCCCCAATTAGCTTACCTTTTCATTTTCTTGATGGTATTGCTTACAGCAAAATTATTTTGATAAGGTCCAGTTTGTCTTTTTCCTTTGTGCTTTTGGTGTTATAGCTAATGAGCTCTCTTTTTAAGGCAGCTGATCCTGTGCTTTCTTTCCTGGATTCTATGTGAGCAGTGTAGATTAGGGACATGCAAATGGAAAGAAGGATGGAAAGAATTGTGAGAAAATACTTTTATTCATAAACTTCCCTTTGTTTCTGCATTGTAAAGCTGCTAAGTACGTGGGTAACTGATTTTATGAATTCCTCCACACTGGAGGTTATTGCTCTACTCCAGAGCTATGAGTCATTGTGAGTCGGCCACTTCTGCCTGCCACTGCCCTGTTGGTCAAGGGAACATCCCCCTGACTTGTGGAAAAGTCTGGTAAACTGTAACTCAGCACAAACACACTAAAACCTTATAAGTTTTTAAGAGGGAAATCAAAATGAGTCCGTTGGATTCTCAGGAGAGAGCCAGGAATGCCTGTAAGGGTTTACAGGAACATGCTCTTTTCTTGCCAGGTGCTTGATACTAAAATACACACACACACACACACACACACACACACACACACACACACACCCCTTTTTTCTCCTTCTTGCTGTGACTGCTTCACAGTGCTTTGTGGGTCTCATAAACTATATGCTTAAAGACTTCTGAGGGGAGTCCAAACTGGAACTGGCACAGAAAGAGGAAATTTCTAATTAAATACTGTTCCAGTCTACAAAATGGAAGCATGAATTGAAAAAAGGAATTTAGGACAGTACACTATTTTCCTGCTTTAGGAGACATTTCTCGGCTGATCTCATACTTGAGATTTAAAAAAAATCAACATGTATTTAAAAAAAAGAAAGAAAAAAACCACCTGTACATTTTATATGTACTTACCATTCATTGAAAATGTAAACTTAAGCTAAATTTAATATGTGGCATCAAACATAAAATTGACCTTAATTTTTACTTTTCATCTTCGCAATATAACAGTTGTGAGAGTTATCTATTTCTCTAATAATGAAATAAAGTAATTTTTTTCAGGAAATAACTGGGCTATGAAATCATTAAGCATGTTCTTACCAATATTGATTTAGAGATTGCTTAATGTTGTATAAAAATAAATACCTTTAAACTAAAACAATATTTTAGGCAGCAAAAAGAGGAGAATGCAAGAATGTATTAAATATTTTACTGAAATTAAAATCAAACAATTTGCTAATTATGCATTTCTGTACCCAAATATTTTCCATACGGTTAAAGTCCTAGAGCGATCATATACAGTCAGTGCTCCAGTGTAATTTACTCTGTGTCTGGCAGGGATGTTGCCATGTAAGTTTTTGAAGTGTAAACTGGTCAGTTCAGGGTTTTTATTGTGGGCTCGCAAGTATTGTGACATTTACATTGCAAATTCCTGGGTGTCATGGATGAATAAACAGAGGAGAAATAGTGAATAAGAGACTATGTTATTGTATTTGCCTCTATTTCTTTGCATCTCACATACACCCCAATTCCTTGAAACCCAGCCTTTAGTGAAGTGAGCATACCCAGGATTTCATCTGGCCACATGCTGCAGACTCCCTTTATTTTCAGATCCTTTCAGCATCTGGTGTTTCAGGGTCATCCCTTGAAAGGTTCTCTTTTTCTTCTGTGACACCTCTCCCTTCTCCTAGTTATCTGTCTCCTTTATGGGCTTTCTGGCCGTCTGTGAAATGTTGTTTTCCCAAGGTTTTACCTCTGGCCCTATCGTGCTCCCACTCCACATCACTCCATGTGCCTTCCATCTAATGTATAGAATGACCTCATTCATCTTATACATTAGTGACTTCTCATACCAGTTTCACATAGAATCATCTGGAGAACTTTTTAAAAACATATTTTCCTCAAAAGGCTAAACCTGGAAAGTACCATATGACCCAAAAATTCAACTCTTAGGTAGATATGTATACACCCAAAATAATTAAAAACAGGCACTCAAACAGATACTTGTAGGTACATGTTCATAATGTTCATAGCAGCACTGCTCACAGTAGCCCCAAGTTGGAAACAACCCACGTGTGAATCCATACAGTGGAATATTATTTAGCCATAAAAAGCAATGAAGTAGTGACATGCTACAGTGTGAATGCATCTCAAAAACAGGCTGAGTGAAAGAAGCCAGTCACAAAAGACCACATATTATATGATTTCATTCCTACGAAATACTCAGAATAGGCAAATCCACAGAGCCAGAAAGCAGGCTAATGGTTGCCAGGGGTTGGGAGAAGAAGAACGGCGAGTGACTGCCCAGTGTGTATGGGATTTCCTTTTTGGAACAGGCTACAGGGATAACTGAACAACATTGTGACCATACTAAATCCCACTGAATTTCTATACTTGAAAATGCTCAATTTTATGTTACATGATTTTTACCTCATAAAATTATAAATGAATGAATGAATGAATTCATCCATTTAAATGAAATGTTTGTTGACTTAAAAAATGAATGAAAATTCATTCATTTGAATGAAATGTTTGTTGATTTAAAAAAATGAAACCTTTGAGCAGAAGTTTTGTTCATTTAAATGAAATGTTTGTGGAAAGAAAAGGAGTCTGATTCCCAGGCCCCTCCCCAGAGCAATAAAATCAGAACTCTACAAACATCCCTAGCACCTCTACAAACTTCCCTAGCACCTCTCTTCTCCTTAGTTATCTATTGATTCTAATGAGCAGTCAGGGTTGAGAGAGCAACTTCCGCCATCTGCTTGTCCCGTGTGGCCCTTCACTTCAGCTCCAGGTCCATACATCTGACTGCATCTAGGGTTTTTTTTATTTTTGACAGTCTTGCTCTGCCACCCAGTCTCGAGTGCAGTGCTGTGAACACAAACACAACTCACTGCAGCCTTGACCTCCTGGGTTCAAGTGATCCTCCTGTATCAGCCTCCTAAATAGCTGGGACTACAGGTGCATGGCACTATCCCTGGCTAATTAAAAATTTTTTTTGTAGTGGTGGGGGCTCTCTAAGTTGCTCAGTCAGGCTGCTCTCAAACTCCTGGGCTCAAAGTGCTTCTCCTGCATCCTCTTCCCAAAGTGCGAAGATTACAGGCACGAACCAGAGTTTTTTGATGGCATTAGCAAGCATGGTTTTATATGTAGGGGGCCTTTAGAGA